TGTTTTTTTTGTTTTGTTTCTTGGGTTTGTAAGCCCCCGTGCCCGCCGCGGCCTCCCTCCCAGCACCCCTCTCTCCGCCTCTCAAAACCAAAAAAAAATGTTTCGTGGCTTCGCAGACCAAAAAAAACACAGCGTTTCCTTGCATCGGTGGCGCCAAGCATTGCGTAGAGAGAGAGAGAGAGAGAAAGAGATAGAGAGAGAGAGAGAGAAAAAAAGAGAGAGAGAGAGAGAGAGAGAAAGAGAGGCAGAGAGAGAGACAGAGAGAGAGAGAGAGAGGCAGAGAGAGAGAGAGAAAGAGAAAGAGAGAGAGAGAGAGAAAACAAAAGGAAAAGAAGCAGTCGAGGATGAGGAGACGAAAAGGTATGATCTTGGGGGGGGGGGGGCGACCATATATATATATATATATATATATTATACGTGTAAATACATGCGTTGTGTGTAAGTGTGCATATATATGAGTACATATGTGTATACAAACATATATATATATATATATATATATTATATATAACTATATATATATGTGTATGTGTATGTACATATACATAAACATATTTTTATATATATATATATGTATATGTATACGGCTCCTGCAGTGGAGAAGGGGGGTGGGGGCGGGGACAGTCCCAGGGGCCGCCCCGGGTTGGAGTAGCGCGATGGAGGTACCTGGGGGAGTATAGGGGAAGGGGGTCCTGGGGGGCCCCTCCCCTGGGAGGCCGCCCCGGGCGGAAAAGGGGGGGGCAGGGGCCCTGACCTTCCAGGAGGGCAAAAAAATAGCACCCGACTTAAAACCTATCCAAAAGCTATTCTACGTCTTGGTTTTAGGCTGTTTCGCTCTGATTTTTAGGTTTTTAGGCCTCCAGTGCTAAAAAATAGCTCTTGGGAAGGTCAGGGGGGTGGTCTCCCCGTGGACTGGGGAGCCCCGTGGACGAGGGAGCTCCCGACTTCCCCCCCGTGGGCAGGGGGGCCATCGCCACCCTCCTTTCCGCCCGGACCCCGGCCCCCCGAGGGGCACCCTCCTCGCCGTTGCGGGGTGCTGCGCGTTTTGCCGCATGCCTCCGCGAGTCCACCGTCCGAGGGCGGGGTGGCGCAAAATAGGCTGCACCACATTGACTGCACCACCTTGGTGGCACCACAACTGCATTGCGCCACCTAGTTGGCACCACATAGATTGCCAAGCATGGACGCTAACACATAGCTTACAGCACACATACACACATACACACGTACATACATACATACATACATACATACATACATACATACATACATACATGCATGCATGCATGCATGCATGCATGCATGCATACATACATACACACATACACACATACACACATACACACATACCCACATACCCACATACACACATACATACATACATACATACATACATACATGCATGCATGCATGCATGCATGCATGCATACATACATCCATACGTCCATACATCAATACATCCATACATCCATACATCCATACATCCATACATTCATACATATATACATACATACATGCATACATGCATACATGCATACATACACACATACACACATACACACATGCATACACACATACATACATGCATACATACATACATACATACATACATACATGCATGCATGCATGGATGCATGCATGCATGCATGCATGCATACATACATACATACATACATACATACACACACATACACACATACATGCATGCATGCATGCATGCATGCATGCATACATACATACATGCATATAGTTAGATATGTATGTATGGCACGACAAGCATTGCATCACATATGCTATGCTGGAACACGCGGCTTGGAATCTACGCTGGCGAACATTTTAAGTCTGTGTTCGTCGTCGTCACCGTCGCAGTCGTCGCCGTCGCCACCGCCGCCGCCGCCGCCGTCGTCGTCGTCGTCGCCGCCGTCGTCGTCGTCGCTGTCGTCGCCGCCGCCGCCGCCGCCGCCGTCGTCGTCGTCGTCGTCGTCGTCGTCGTCGTCGTCGTCGTCGACATCGTCGTCGTCGTCGTCGCCGTCATCCTTCTTCAGGATCGGCGGCCCTCAGAAGACTTCCGCTGTGGCGCGAAAGCAACCCAAGAAGTCGCCAGGGCGGCAACGAGAGACGCCAGAGACGGCCTCCGAAGGAGCAGGATCGCCCCAAAACGACCCAGGAGGCCCCAGGACCCCCCCGATAGGTTTAGGTCGGGCATGTCCTCCTACAGGAGGGTTTTGGAAAAAATGAACATAATCAAATGAAATTCAAAATGATCAAACGAGCACGGAATATCGTCACCTGATTCTTTGTCCCAACCATCCTGTGGTGTTGGGTCCTCGTTTTGAATAGACAGTCCCCGCGGTCATTTTCTCTTCTCCTCCTCCTCCTCCCCCTCCTCCCCTACCTCTTCCTTCTTCCATGCGTTTCACCCACCCAGCACAGCGTTTCGTGGCCACATAGGGAGCTCCACCGAAGGTCCCAGTGACACCGCCCGCATGCGCCCGCCACCACCCACCTCAGCCCTTGCTCCCTGCGCTTCAACCACCCAATACAGCGTTTCGTGGCCCCACAGGGAGCTCCAGGGAAGGTCCCAGTGGCACCGCCCGCATGCATCCGCCACCACCCAACACGGCCCTTGCTCCCTGCGTTCCACCCACCCAGTACAACGCTTCGTGGCCCCATCGGGGGCTCCACCGAAGGTCCCAGTGGCACCGCCCGCATGCGTCCGACACCACCCAGCACAGCCCTTGCTCCCTGCGTTTCAACCACCCAATACAGCGTTTCGTGGCCGCACAGGGAGCTCCAGGGAAGGTCCCAGTGGCACCGCCCGCATGCGTCCGCCACCACCCAACACGGCCCTTGCTCCCTGCGTTCCACCCACCCAGTACAACGTTTCGTGGACCCATCGGGGGCTCCACCGAAGGTCCCAGTGGCACCGCCCGCATGCGCCCGACACCACCCAGCACAGCCTTTGCTCCCTGCGTTTCACCCACCCAGTACAGCGCTTTGTGGCCGCATAGGGAGCTCCACCGAAGGTCCCAGTGACACCGCCCGCATGAGTCCGCCACCACCCAGAACAGCCCTTGCTCCCTGCGTTTCACTTACCCAGTACAGCGCTTCGTGGCCCCATCGGGGGCTCCACCGAAGGTCCCAGTGGCACCGCCCGCATGCGACCGCCACCACCCAACACGGCCCTTGCTCTCTGCGTTTCACCCACCGTGCAGCGCTTCGTGGCTCCATAAAGGGGGCTCCACCGAAGCCCCCAGTGGCACCGCCCGCATGCGTCCGCCACCACCCAATACGGCACTTGCTCCCTGCGTTTCACCCACCCAGTACAACGTTCCGAGGCCCCACAAGGGAGCTCCACCTAAGGTCCCACTGGCACCGCCCGCATGAGTCCGCCACCACCCAGCACAGCCATTGCTCCCTGCGTTTCACCCACCCAATACGGCGTTTCGTGGCCCCATAGGTGGCTCCACCGAGGGTCCCAATGGCACCGCCCGCATGTGTCCGCCACCACTCAGCACAGCCCTTGCTCCCTGCGCTTCACCCACCCAGTACGGCGTTTCGTGGCCCCGTAGGGAGCTCCACGGAAGGTCCCAGTGGCACCGCCCGCATGCGTCCGCCACCACCCAACACGGCCCTTGCTCCCTGCGTTTCACCCACCCAACACAGCGCTTCGTGGCCCCATAGGGAGCGCACCGAAGAGGATATTCACAATTGCAGTACTCACAACTGCATATGGTTGGGTCTTTCGCCAGGCTCATTGTACAACTCTTGAACGCTCCTCTTGTAGAGGGACATGCCCGACTTAACGATAGGTCCTCAGGAGGCCCCCGAAGGAGCCTCCAGGCGCCAGTCCCCAAAGGCTGGCTCCAGCGCGGTGGCGGAATCGCGCAGCAGCGCGCCGGATGGCACCGCGCAGGCTGCGCCTGCACATATTGTGCCCCGTAGGTTGCGTCCCCTGGGTTGATGAACGTTTTCTTACTCGGCGTTTCGACATTGGGCGGAAGGGGGGGTGTCTGGCTCTGGACCTCTGCTTGATGCGACTCATTGCAGCAGTGCGTCCCATGGGAAGGACTCCACCTGCTTGAGATAGGCGCCGACAACAGCCAAGATCTACTCCATGGGGGGGAGGAAGGGGGTGCGAGGGCCCGCGCCGATCGGCAAAACAATGGATAAGAAAACGACGACATGGGTTGCGAAGAGTCCCTGTTTGGGGCCCACGCGCTGAAAACTCACATGAACATTTGGATTAAACTGCACCTCTTCGCATGGGCTCATCTTAATCCTCCTGTGGACTGTCACTTCATGCATTTGTGTGTCCCTTGGCTTGCCATGGATTATCAAAACTCGTCCTGCTACAACTGAGTACAGCTTGGCTCCATTCATCTTGAGGGCAACTCGGTTTCAGCTTCGGTGTCGCGCATGTCGACATGTACGTACATTCACGTTTACGCTGGCGCGTAAGCTTTGTCTTAAGACCAAGATTCAACTCTGCTGGATATTGACTCGAATGTGGGACGTTGACTCAATCGCGGCATCCGCCGTCCCAGACTACGTTCATACGTCCACCGTGCGCAGTAATATCAAAACAAAGCAATGAATCATATTTCCAGTGTAAGCTCGACAGTGGGCTTACACTTAACCCCAGATCAACAACACGCCGTCTACGATACCGCAACGTGCCCCAGCCAGGCTCGGCCAACAGTTGGCTGGGGGTCAGGCTCAGGCTCATGCTTGGGCACCGCTGGAGCTTCGGGTTCGCACCTCCACACATCTGGTGACGAGGATGGCCATGACGACGAGGGACAGGCATGTGGAGGAGCGCGAACAAAAAGGAGGCCAGGATGGTCACGACGACCAGACGAGGGTCAGGCGGATGAGGAGCATCTGGGTAAGTCTGGGTGCGCGGACGAGGATGGCCGTAATGACGAGGGACAGGCGGCTGAGGAGCGCCAGGGACGAGATGTTCGCAAGTGATGCAGGGGCTCCGAACGCGCAACGGCCTTGTCAGGGTGCACCAGCAGCGACCTGCGCCGGTACGTCTTCCTCACGGCAGCGGAGCCTGCCTCCACGTCGGAGGGGCCTGTCGGAGGACTGCGCATGAGACGCTGCAAACAAGTCTCTTCGGACCCAAGGGGAACGAATATAAAAGAGAGAACTAATTGAAGGGATGAGCAGAGGGTGGGGCATGAAGAAGAGGAGAAGGACGAGGCGGAGGAGGGCGAGGAGAAAAACGGGATAACGATGTTGGGCGCGAAATTCACGGCACAAGGTCGCGGCCACTAACACGCTCGCTGGGGATTCCGATGACGACGGCGACGCCTTTTGACTATGTGTGTATGCGTTGCCGCTGACCGTGCAGGGGCACTGCTGGCCACTCCGCGCAAGGGCCAGCGCAACCTCTGGGAACGGAATATGAAATAAAGAACTCAGGCCACGGTAGTGGGCACATTTCGCTCCGTTGTGCGATTCACCGCCGCAGGGCGGCCCGAGATGGCCGCAGAGCCTCCAACTTATGCTCTGGGAGGCCAACACAAACAAACACACAACGCTCGTCAATGACGATTGCCTTCGTGCCAATTGGTCTCCGATGGGGCCTTAAGGCTTCGTAGTTGACCCAGCACTGCACCATAGTGTCCAAAGAAAAGGAAGGCCTGGCGGGCCCAACGAGAGGCCCTAACGCAACCAACAGCTACCCACTAGAGCCCTAAGATGATATATGCTTCAGGAATTAAAGAGGTCGGTAGGAGAAGCGCCCGCCCTGGTTGTAGCCGAAATGCTGTGCGATGGCTCCAAGAGGGCCCCAGCAGTTGCCCAACATTGCACCGAGAGAGACATGACGACCCCTAAAGGCTGCAAACATTGCCTCGAGAGAGAGCCCAAGATGATGAAATCCGTGGAGGAACAGCAAGAGGGCAAGCAGGATAGGCAGGGGGGAACGAGGGGGAATATGATAAGGGATGGGCGGAGGGATGAGGAATCAACAAAGCAACGGCGGCTGGATTAGGAGGGCAGGAAGTGGGAGAAGGGCAGGTGAAGGAGTAGGATGGGGCAGGACACGGAGCAGAGGGTGACAAGGAGGAGGAGGACGCGACGCAGGAGGAGGGGAGGAGGAGCAGCAGCATCAGCAGGACGAGGAGGAGAAGGAGGAGGGGGAGGAGGAGGAGGAGGAGGAGGAGGAGGAGGAGGAGGAGGAGGAGGAGGAGGAGGAGATGTTCAGGAGCAAGAAGACCAACCATTTTGGCTCAAGCCTCCCCATGCTGGCTCTCAAGCATTTGCCTCGAGGCCGAGCTGTCTTGTCGTAGCCATGGGCCTTCGGCGCAGGCGTGAAGGGAGATTGTGCGCGCCCTTGCGCCAGGGCATGTGCGCCCCGCCAGCCTGTATGGGGCAGGCGCGGCTGCTCTATGGGAAGCCACGCGCCTGTCTCATTGGAGTCCCGGAACGCTGCGGTGACAGACCGTGCGGTGACCTCGAAATCCCCCAAGACCTCACCGCACGGTCCGTCACCGCACGGTCTTGGGACCCCGGAGGCCCCTGTCGCCCGAGACGTCCTCGGAGAGGGCCTCGAGCCCCGAAACCGTGCGGTGACCCCGAATCCCCACCGACTCACCACACGGTGTGGTCACCACCCCACTTGGGGGCCCCCGAGTCTTGCAAGTGCGAGAGGAGGAGGAGGAGGAGGAGGAGGAGGGAGGAAGGAGGAGGAGGAGGAGGAGAGGAGGAGGAGGAGGAGGAGGAGGAGAGGAGGGAGGAGAGGAGGAGAGGAGGAGGGAGGAGAGGAGGAGGAGGAGAGGAGGAGGAGGAGGAGGAGGAGGCGGTGTGGTCACCACCACCCTGTTTGGGGGCCCACGGGGCACGCGCTCAGTGCGCATGTCGGCACCACTGCCGGGGTCACCGTCCCGGCGGGGGCCCACGCCTGCCCGCTGTCTGCCCGGGGGCTCGGCCAGAGTGTGCCACCGCACGCGGGCGGCCGCCGGGGCGAGCCGGGCGCGCGAGGAAGACGACGGGCGAAGGAGGGAGGATGGAGCGAGGAAGATGCGGAAGTTGAGAGGGGCCCAGGGGGCACGCCGCAGACAAAAATGGACACACGTCCCAGGCTTCCCTATACTTTCTCCTAGTTTCGGGTGCTTTTGTCTCCCCCCCCCCCCCACTCCCCCCATAGCTTCCCACATTTTCCTGGGAGTCGACGGTTCATTGTGTCTGTGTGTTTGTTTTCCCCCTCCTGAGAGTTGCAGGGAGGAGGAGAGAGGATGACGAAGGAGCAGGAGGAGGGGCGACGAGTCGGCAGTGCGGCCTCCTCCTTTTCAGCCTCGTCCATCCCCCTCCCCGCTCCCTCATTTTCTTCCTCCTATCTTCCCGCGAGAATCGCATGCCGCCCTTGAGTAACCAAAGAAGGACCCCTAACCCTTTAGGAGGGGACCTAAGTTAGGGGGACGGGCAACAACATAGGGATAGGGGGTCTTTGCTGCAGACGTATCGCACCAAACCGTTCAGATTCATTACCCCCTAATGCAAAGACGGGGACCTCAGTGTGGCCACGTCTTCCTCGTGTAATGAGGGCTAGGGGTTCTTCGCTTCTCAATGCTTCTTGGGCTCATTGCTGTGTGGGGGCCGTGCTTCTGTTGCCCCATCGTGTCAAACCCTCCTGTGGCACCCGAGGTTGAACCCCTGCCCTCCCGCCACCTGCTCGCTGTCCCCCTCCTGGTTGCCCTACCGCCCGTAGAGTGAGCAGGCCAGGGGCCGGGGGCGCCGCCTACGCCGAGAGTGGCGAACGAGTTGGTCGCGCGGGTGACGCGCAAGAACCTCAGCGGCGACTTGCAAGACCGTCTCGAAAACCGAACTACAAGCGAACGAAAACGACAGGCCGCAAGCAGCCTGGAAGGGCGCAGCGGCGCAACAACGGCACAACGACGACCGACGGAGCCGAAGCAACCAGACGCAACCGACCCCGACCCAGCCGGACAAACCGAACCGCGGACACCGTTGATGGAACAAGAAGAACTGGCATAAACACAATTTTTTGGCGCGCCGCGCGGATTGCTTGCATCTGCGCTGGACCCCCCCCCTCCCTGGCGCGCGGCGCCGCAAGCGCCGCTGGGGGGCCCAACGCGGATCCGAGGAATCCGCGCGGAGCGCGTAAAGTTTATGTCCATGGCGCTTTTTTTACTCGAGTTGATGTGCCAGCTGCCATCTGGCCTGCAGTCGCTCCCCGACGGCTCGAGGAGAGAGGGAGAGCCACCGAGCAGTGTAAGGTCGGGCGTGTCCTCCTGCAGGCAGAGCTTGGACGAACAAAAATACAAATTAGGAAAAACCATCGTGCCCACACTATTTGTTTACTACTTCTGATTACTCCTCCTGTAGAGGAACAGCCCCGACTTGAGAGCAGTGTGGGAGTCCGTCTCCCGAGGCTGGACTCTGCGGGGGCGCGGGCGCCAGAACGCGAGCTCGCGGTGAGTCGGGCTCGTCGCCGCAGTCGCGGCTGGTGCGGAGAGGCAGAGGAGTGCACAGAAGCACAGGGGAGGAAGAGGAGGGAGGCCACACTGTCTCAGCACTCCCAGGCTGAGCATCCTTTGCCCTGCCATTCCAATTGCGCGATCTGTAGAAGAGGAAACAACGGCATAAACATAAACGTTTGGCGCTTCGCGCGGATTTCTTGGATCTGCGCTGGACCCTCCCTCCCTGGCGCGCCGAGCGCGCCAGGGGCGGCGCCGGAGGCGTCGCCCGGGGGGCCCCAGCGCGGATCCAAGAAATCCGCACGGAGGGCCAACAGTTTATGTTTATGCTGTGTTTTCTTTTTCGAACCTGAGCACCTGGATCCGATCGATCCCAAAGAGATGATGCATCTAGGGAGGAACTCGCGCTCCCAATCGTCGTCCATGGCTGCCAGGGTAGAGAGGCTGCCAGGGCATCTTATCAGAAGGAGAAAGGAGTTGCCAGCATCCCCGTTCTTGCGCTGACCTGCTTGTTCTCTTCGCCGACCTCTATCGACGATATCGCGTCACCACTGCACTAACTGAACGAAATTGCTAGGTCATCGCTTATGCACCTCGTCATGCAACCTTCTCGTGTGCATTCTTCGTCCGTAGCAACAGCTGCTGATGATTTTCCCCCTGAGAGCCTGATGATCCACAATATCATTGTGCCCTGCACTCACCTGATGTGTTTTCCCCCTGACTTGGATTCTGGTGATCCGCAATATGATATTCTGCCCTGCACTCACCCTTGTCCTTGTGACCTACTGCCTCATCCATGTACACAAACATGTCGTGCATACAGAAATCCGCTGACCCTGTCAGCGTGTGTGAGGGGCTTTTCCGTTCGAGTCGGGTTTTTCCGTTGGTGTCGTCGTCTCCGTCCTCCTCTGTTCCATTTGCCTGGGCCCTCTTCCTCATACACGCCGCCCAAAAGCAAAATTGAACAACATAGGGGTGAAAACGAAGGGAAGCCCCTTCCCTTTCATCCCTTCCCCGCTGGGGGGGGGGGGTCCCGGGGGGGGTCCTGGGAGGGGGGGTCCCGGGGGGGGGGCGCCTGGGGGGGGTCCGGAGGGGGGATCGCCGCTGAAATACGATTTTCCCGAGCGCGATTCCCAAACCCTCGCGCGGTCCCCGCGCGGTCCCGAACCCCCGCGCGGTCCCTGAAGCCAAAGAAGTCCCCAGGAGTTCTCCACGGGACCTCCAAGAGGCCCCTGGACTTCCAACTCTCTTCCACAGGGTGCCCAAGACGGGAGGCCCAACGAGCCCTCGGCGACAAAACCCGCCGACCCTGTTGGCGTGTGTGAAGGGCTTGTCTGCTCGAGTCGTCGTCTCCGTCGGTCGTCGTTTCCGTCGTCCCCTTTCCCTGCACCCTCCTCCTCAAGCGTGTCAGCGAGAGAAAAATCTAGCAATGTCGTAATCGAGTCGAAGGGAAGCCCCTTCCCTTTGATTCCTCCCCCGTCAGGGGGGGGTCCCGGGGTGGGTGCCTGGGAGGGGCGGGGGTGGTCAGATACACATCCCCCCCTGGGGGCCCCGGGGCCTCCGAAATTACCAAGACAGGTCGTGCCCCAAGAGGCCCCAAGGCGGTCCAAGGGCGCCCCCAATCGCCAAACGATCGGTCCAAAACGCCTTCACGCCCTCCAGACTGCCAAGGAGGTTTCCAGGACGCCCCAAGACGCCTCCAAGAGCACTCTCCATTGGTTTTTGGTTTTATTTTAATGTTTGTTTAGGGGGGTATTCTCGCGTTTTCCACTTCCCGCCGCTCCATGACGGCGCAAGAGGCACCCAAGATCGCCCCAAGATGGCCCAAGAGGTCTCCAAGAGGGCCCCTAAACAGCCCAATAGGACCCCAAGACAGCCCAAAACGCCTCCAAGACGGCCCAAGAGGCCCCCAAGACGGCTCCATGTGCCCAGACGGGGGACCCGAACAGACATTTCGAGCCCTCGGCCCCAAGAGGCTTCCAGGAGGCCCCAAGAGGTTCCCAAGAGGCCCCAAGAGGCCAACAAGAGGTCCCCAGGAAGCCCGAAGCGGCCCCCAAGAGGCTCCCAAGAGGCCCCCAAGAGGCTCCCAAGATGCCCCAAAAGTCCTCCCCAAATGCCGCCGAGAGACTTCCGAAGAGACCCCAAGAAGCATCCCTGAGGACTCTGGCCCACGTCAGTGTCGTCGTCGTTGCCGCCGCCGCCGCCGTTGTCGTAGTCGTCGTCGTCGTCGTCTCCCTTCAGGGTCGGTGGCGCCGGCCGTAAGGCCTTCGCAATCATGTACGAAATCTGGGCATGCTCTCTCACCACCTCGTGGATCGAAAACTGAAACAAACTTGCCGGCAGGCTGGCATATACACGCCGTGAAACCACACCCGGATGCGTCTGGTGAGCCTGTGCGGGGGTGCGCACTTGCGCTGGAGCGCACCCCTTTGTAAACCGAGTGGTGCGTCCGTCAACTTCCGCTGGCGACGGCGCTCGGGGATCTTCGGGCCCGGGTCAGTCCAGACCCGGGCCACTCAGGCTTCGCAAGATCCTGCAAGATCCTGCAAGATTGAAGGGGCCCTGGGACACACAAAAAAATACACACAAATAAAATAATCCCCCACATTTTCCCATATTTTCTGGGTGTGTGCCTTCCCTCCCCCACTTCCCAGATGTTCCCGTACTTTCTGGGGGAATCGGCGATTCATGGTGTCTGTGCGCTTGCTTCCCTCCTGCAGGATCCTGCGGCATCCTGCACCCAAACCCCGGGCCAGCCCACCCCTGGCCCTGCAGGATCTCCTGCAGGAGCCGGCGCTCCGACCGGACCCCCCGCGTTTGCATCTGCGCGTCGGGCTGCTGGAAGACGACGGAACGCCAGCTCAGGGACGAGGCCCCCTCGTCACGAGGAACGCGCTCAGCTCAGGGACGAGGCCGCCTCGTCAAGAGGACCAGACGGAACGCCAGCTCAGGGACGCTCAGCTCAGGGAACGCCAGCTCAGGGCCACGAGGCCCCCTCCGTGGCCCTGCAAAGGCGCCCCTCCGTGCCCCGAGAGGGCACGAGAGGCGCAGCACGGGGGGAGAACCCGAGGAACCTCGAGCCCCCTCCGAGCCCAAACTGCTCCCTCTCTCCGCGTCTTGGCTCTGTCCCCCCGTCTCAAGAGCCCCGAAAACCGCCCCCGCTCCGGGGCCCCGAAAACCGCCCGTGCAAGCGCCTGCGTGCCCCGAGAGGGCAAGAGAGGAGCAGCACGGGAGGAGAACCCGAGGAGAACCTCGAGCCCCCTCCCGCACCCAAACTGCTCCCTCTCTCCGCGTCTTGGCTCTGTCCCCCCTGCCCCCCGGAGCCCCGAAAAGACCGCCCCAGCGTGCACGCTCGCCAGCGTGTCTGCCGCCCTGCCGCCGCCTGCGACCCCTGGGGGAAAGGGGGGGCGGCGCGCCGGCAGCGCCCCCTCCCCCTCGAGGGCGGGGCCCTGCCCATGGGACGCCCTGCGCGTGCCCTGCCCAGGGGGGCCACGCGCGAGCCCCCTGCAGCCCTGACCCATCCCCAAGGCCATGCTACGTCTCGGCTTTGGGACGTGTCGTTGAGTTTTTTAGGCTTCCAGGCCTCCACTGCTGAAAAACAGCTCTCTGGAAGGTCAGGGCCCCTGCCCCCCCCCCACGGTTTTTTTCGAAGGGGGAGGGAGGGAGGGGGAGAACATTCACCCTATTTGACTTGGTGTTTTCTGTGAGTGCAACAAGTTTTGTTTTGACCAAGTCAATCTACACATGAGCCGTCGTACGAGCTGCGGACATATGTACACGCACGCATGCATTCATAAACACATATGCAATCCTCCTTCTCCTCCTCCTCCTCCTCCTCCTCCTCCTCCTCCTCCTCTTTCTCCTCCTCCTCATCCTCATCCTCCTCCTCTTCCTCCTCCGCCGCCGCATCCTCCTCCTCCTCCTCCTCCTCCTCCTCCTCCTCCTCTTTCTCCTCCTCCTCCCCTCCTCCTCCTCCTCCTCCTCATCCTCATCCTCATTTTCCTCCTCCTCCTCCTCCTCCCCTTCTCCTCCTCCTCCCCGCCTCCTCCTCCTCCTCCTCCTCCTCCTCCTCCTCCTCCTCCTCCTCCTCCCCTCATCCTCCTGCCTCATCCTCCTCCTCCTCCTCCTCCTCCTCCGCCTCCTCCTCCTCCTCCTCCTCCCCTTCCTCCTCCTCCTCCTCCTCCTCCTCCTCCTCCTCCTCCTCCCTCCTCCTCCTCCTCCTCCTCCTCTCCTCCTCCTCCTCCTCCTCCTCCTCCTCCTCCTCCTCCTCCTCCTCCTCCTCCTCCTCCTCCTCCTCCTCCTCCTCCTCTCCTCCTCCTCCTCCTCCTCCTCCTCCTCCTCCTCCTCCTCCTCCTCCTCCTCCTCCTCCTCCTCCTCCTCCTCCTCCTCCTCTGGACAATGGACACCAAGGAATGTGCTCATCCTGTGGGTCACGAGCCCGTTCAGCCTTTCTGGGCCAACGGGGGACCCTCTTGGGGAGCTTCGGGGCAGTTTTGGAGGCCATCTTGGGCGTCTTGGAGGCCATCTTGGGCGTGTTGGAGGCCTCTTGGGCTTTCTTGGAGCCCTCTTGGGGCCATCCTGGAGGCCACTTGGGGCGTCATGGGGCCCTCTTGGGGGCCTCTTGGGCGATCTTGGGGGCCTCTTGGACCGTCTGGAGCAGTCTGAATGCCGAGAAGAAACAAATTCCAAAATCCTTCAAAAACCTATGGAAAATCAATGAGTTTGGCCTCTTCGGGCCCTCCTGGAGGACCTCCTGGAGGCCTCTTGGGCCGTCTGGGAGGCCTCTGGGGGGCCTCTTGGGCCGTCTTGGGCCGTCTTGGATCTCTTGGGCCATCTTGGAGGCCGTCTTGGGCCATCTTGGGCGGACTTGGAGGCCATCTTGGACCATCTTGGAAGCCATCTTGGGCCAGCTTGGAGGCCATCTTGGAGCGTTCCCCGAATCGGTTTGGAAAGCCTTCGGGGAACACGTGGGCGCCTTGAAGGTCATCGTGGCCGTCTTGGAGGCCTCTTGGGCGATCTGTCGGCGATCTTTGGGGGCTCTTGGGCCGTCTCGGGCCGTCGGATGGCCGAAAAGAAGGACATCTCAAAATCCGTTAAAAACATACGACTAATCAATGTGTTTGGCCTCTTCTGGCCTTCCTGGAGGCCCTCTTTGGGGCCTCTTGGGCCCTTTTGGGCCAGCTTCGAGCCAGCTTCGGCCATCTTGGTGGGTTCCTGGCACGTCTGACGCCGTCGGGAGCAGTCTTGGGGGCCTTTCTGGGCCAACGGGTGACCCTCTTGGGGCGCTTCGGGGCCGTTTTGGAGGCCATCTTGGGCGTCTTGGAGGCTATCTTGGGCGTGTTGGAGGCCTCTTGGGCCGACTTGGGGCCCTCTTGGGGCCATCTTGGAGGCCACTTGGGGCGTCATGGGGCTCTCTTGGGGGCCTCTTGAGCGATCTTGGGGGC